TACTTGAACTTCTGCTCGAGCCTTTACCGAACGAGTCAAGCTCGATTCGTTTAACTAAAAAAACTTAAGTTCGACTTACTTATTGATATTAATTCACCGTATTATAAAAAAATTACATAAGAATTTATATTTTTTATTCTTAGCTTTAATTTGTAAATTTTGGTGTTGACTCACTACAAATAGTGTCTACAATAATTTTGATTATATTCTGTTTTTTGTCAATCTATTTCGAAAGACATATGATATTACTAACAAAAGGATCCTTGTCGGGCCAATTTAGTTTCGATATTGCAGTAAGCCCAATAATATACGGTTTAATAACTGGCCCAAGAGAAGTACAATTTCATCATCTCGGGCCGGCCTTGGCCCATACCGTTCAGGTTCGATGAAATTTAACTAGTAAAAATTAGAAAGTATTAATGCTCATTGTGTAATATATTTGACATAAAAATATAATATATTTATATTATATTATAAAATAAAAAAAAGGCCAGATAGCATCATAATTTATTAAAGTGTGAAATAGAGCTTGTAGCCGTTTCCCATGAAAATGAGCATTTTTAGGGTATGTTTGGTAAACCAAATAAGCTAGTTTATAGCTTATTTGGTTAGTGTATAAGCTTCTTCTATTTAAATAAGTCCCGTTTGGTAGGACGAGCTTATTTAAAAAGCTCGAGCTTATTGATAAGCTTGTTTAGGTAGCTTTTCAAATAAGTTAGTTGAATTTTTTATTTCAGTTAGCTTATCAGCTCATTTTACCAAACACTTTTATCATATAAGCTAGCTTTTCAGCTATAAGTCATAAGCTATAAACTATAAGCTCAAAAATTACATATAAGCTATAAGCTAGATTATCAACTATCAGCTAGCTTATCAGCTAGTTTTACCAAACATAGCCTTAAAGAGATCAAATCGGACTAAACAGTTGTCAGTGTACATTTTCTCCTTTTTTTTATCTTATTATTTTTTACAGTTTCAGAAAGGTTCGTAAATAAATGAAGAAATATATTACAATATATAACGTTTTTTGGTAACTATTTCAATAATGCTTGTACAATTATTGCATTATTATTTGTACACGCAACTCATTCATCCAACATGTTCTACGAACATGCAATAACATAACACACAATAATTTAAACTGCCCTACTGCATTAAAACTTGTTCAATACTCCCAACCATAAAATAAGACCATACCATACCGCCCGCTTCTTCCTAGAGTGTAAATGAGGTCGAGTTTGGCTCATGGTGTAGCCAATCATTAACGAGCCGATCTCGAGCTTGAGTCATTAATATCAGTAAGGTTGCAAACGAGTCGAATTGAGTTTAGTATAGTATGGAATTTGTCGAGCGCCGCAGATCGAACTTTTTTCTTCAGTGTTCGAGATCGACGAGTCATGCAAGATGATGCTCGACTCGACTCGTGAAGAAAATAAGAATGCTTGAGATCGACCCGATGCTCGACGTGGTTTGAGGTCGGCTCAAAATTTTAAACAACCAATTTTGACATTGGTGCTCTAATATTTATAATTAAATTATATATGGTGTTTATGTAAATAAAAGTTGAGCGGCTCGCCGAGCTTTCAAGCCTCTTCAAATGATGTTAGAGGCTCGACCCGTTTTGCTCGATTGAACTGCTCGAGCTCGACTTGAGCTTAATTAAGTTTACCGAGCTCGAGTTGAGCATTGGCTCGAGCGCTTGACTCAATTGTAGCCCTAGCCCTAATTATATAATATATAGCTAATCTCGATTGGTTCTACTCGTTAGCTAAACTAACTAGTAATTGAGCTCAAGTTCTACCTATTTATCAATATTAATGAGTCAAAGTCGAGTTTTAGCGAGTCGAGCTATAGAAATATAACAATTATTCCTTTCGAGTTTTAACAAGCCGAATTGATCCCGACTTGTTAACGAATCGAGTTTTAATTGAGCTCGAGCTCGATTTGTTTCATCGAATCACGAGCAGGTCGTTTCATTTAACAATTGTATCCATGTATAATTAAGCAGCATAAGCTATTTTGTCTTTTTTAACTTTTACTGGTTGGTTAGTACGTACAGTAACACTATTGGTTTTACTTGATAGTGGGGTGTCTTCTCAATCTCACATGCTTGGAAAAAGCTTTTTTGGGCTGAAAAAGCCAAGGATGGGCTGGGCCCAACATTAAAGGCCTAGCATAGCCCAGCCCATATCTAAAGTAAACTCCCACCCAACAGTTCCTATTTTCTTTATTCTTGCTATATATATAAGGTGAGAAGAACACTAGAATGACTTCTACTTTTATTATCTGAGAGCAAATTCCCTTACAACATAAAAGATCAAAAGATTAAAACAATAAATATAGAAAAAAAATAGAAAAAAAAAAATTATATCTAAACAGCTCGTGACAACAAGGTGAGTGTCGAACGAGATGGAGAAGCAGGGCACGTGCATTACTAACTCATTTTCATGCACGCGCCATTTTTTTCGGATCGATTGTTATTATTATTGTTGTTGTTGTTGTTGTATATAATTTTCGGGTGTTTGCAAGAAACGGACGACCCAGATTATCTCTGTAGATGCGATGAGTTAGTTCTACATGTGCCTGTCTTCCCCATCATGACCACTCAATCTTATTTGATTTTGTCCAAGGATTTCAAGCTCATCAGTTCAAGGTAATAATTTGTAATAACAGATAAGGTCCATTTTTAGGTAAATTTAATTATTTATTAATTCCATAGTTGTTTTAATTTCATTACTCTTTTTTTCTTTGTCTTCACATAAAAAGTAGCCAAATTTGCACAACAATATATTAGTAATTTAGTGTATATATCATGATATAAATAAAGTTCAAGGGAAGTTAAAATAAGTTCACTGAAGTTCCGGGTC